TTTCTTAAAAAGCGTTCTACACGAGTCACTCTGCAATGGGGTTTTTACTACCTTGTTGATATTAGAGGAGTTCCCCAGAAGCTATACTACACCATATTATGCTAAAATTGAATTTACATACCTACATGTTACGGACGGCGAAGGGAGCCGCCGCCGCGCAGTCATCCAGCGCACCTCACACCACATCGCGACACGTCTTCGCACCCCGCACTAAACCGCAGAGCGATAATACGCGCAGCCAATCAGCGCGCGGTCGACCCAGTGAGTTCGTGTGGAGACTCGACACCCACGCGACCCCGGGAACATAAATGGAGCGCCCGGCAGGCGAGATTCGTACACCAGGCACAATCCTCTTTGGCTGATGACCTGAATACAGTTTATACTGCTATTCGGAGCATCGAAATAGGGGAAATTGCCATCCTAGCACGCAAAGGTAGGCCTAGGTCCCCTCAGGACCGTTTCCTTACTCTTGCTGAGTATCACAACCTCTTGTGTTCATTGTAAATCAATATAATGTCAGAGCCTCCCGCTCGCATCATATCACACGGTCGTATCAAGCCAGAGTTTGTCGCTAGTATCTTTTAATATCCGCGGTTTGCGTAATAATCTCCCTGAGCTTAAGTTCTTACTTCAAGATCGCGAATCCTGAGCTCCTCCTCCAGGAGACACATCATCATCATCATAATCAGCCTGCAGCAGTCCACTGCTGGACATATGCCTCTCCCAAGGCGCGCCACTTAGCCCGATCTTCGGCTACACGCATCCAGTTTCTACCAGCCACCTTGCGCAGATCGTTGCTCCATCTGGTCAGGGGGCGTCCCACACTACGTTTGCCTAGATGCGGTCTCCACTCCATAACACGTCTACTCCACCGGTTGTTACTTCTGCCACAGACATGACCAGCCCATTGCTACTTCAGCTTACAAACACGGAAAGCTATGTCAGTAACCCTGGTTCTCCGGCGAATTTCTTCATTTCGAATTTTGTCCACCAGAGAAACTCCGAGCATAGATAGCTCTTTCCATTGCTCGCTGAGCGACTTTAAGCTTTTGGAGTAGACGTATCGTCAGTGTCCACGTTTCGGCACCATAAGTGAGTACGGGTAGAACGCACTGGTTGAAGACTTTCGTCTTCAGACATTGCGGTATGGGCGACGAGAAAACCCGACGGAGCTTTCTAAATGCTGCGCAGCCCAACTGAATCCTCCGATCGGCTTCCTTCTCGAAGTTATTCTTACCTAGTTGCAATCTGCAATGAAATCTGCCCGAGGTATATTCCTGGACAACTTCGAGAATTTCATCATCAACAGTAATTGGAACTGGCATGACGTAATCGTTGAACATAACTTTTGTCTTGTTCAGATTAATGCACAGACCAACACTTTGGGAGGATTCATTTAGTCTGTTCAGCATGTCCTGAAGTTCCTGCAGCGTTTCTGCCATGACGACGATATCGTCAGCAAAGCGTAAGTGTGAGATGTACTCACCGTTTACGTTAATAACGCGTCCTTTCCAGTCTAACGTCTTAAAAACATCTTTCAGTGCATTTGTAAACAGTTTAGGGGATATAACATCCCCCGTCTCACTCCGCGATGCGACTGGATCGGTTTTGTTTGAACGTCCTGTACTTGGACGGACATCGTACTGGTGTTGTAAAGGCATCTCAGCACTTCGATGTACCGCCAGTCAATTTGGCACCGCTGCAAAGAATTCAGAACAGCCCAAATTTCAATGGAGTCAAAGGCTTTCTCATAGTCCACAAATGCAAGTCACAGAGGCTGGTTATACTCTGTTGTCTTCTGTATTACTTGCCGCACTGTGTGAATGTGGTCTATAGTGTCAAATCCTCCTCGAAACCCAGCCTGTTCCGCAGGCTGAAAGTCGTAGTCTTTGCGCGAGTCGATTTGTGCTGACCCTCGAAAACAACTTATAGACGTGGCTCAGAAGCCAGATGGGTCGACAATTTTTAGCATAGTCTTGTCACCTTTCTTGTGAAACAAGTCTTTAATGCTTTTGCTCCACACCTTTGGAGTGTTCCCATCTCGTAAGATGCAGTTAAAACTCGACAGAGCTCTTTTAGCAAGGGTTGACTCCCAGCCTTTAAGACCTCTGTTGTAACTCCTACCTTCTCCAGGGGCTTTTCCATTTTTAAGTTGACCGAGGGCCAGCTCAATCTCCCCAAGGCAGATGGTGGCGGGTCAGCGTGGCTCTGGGATCATCGCATTTAGTCAGGTTGTGGCTTATGTAAGGCATATAGTTGCCATAATAGTGTTCAATCTTAGAGTGAACCTCAGGCTTTGACGTGAAGATTTTGCCATCATGCGTCTGGAGTTTTGCGATGTGACTTCCAAGCTCCCGAACTAAGATTTTAGATCCCTTGTTTCGCTCTATTGCTGCTTGTATAGCAATTGCATTACAGCGACGCAGGTCCCGCCTCACAGCTTTCCAGGAGACACACCTCAGTCCTAAGGTCGTCAAAGGCCTCTCTAGCAATAAGTATTCTCTTCTACGTGGTGACAAACCTGACCGCAAAGGACCTCTTTTAGTCTCAAAGGCGGCGGTACTGCCATTTACTACAAGAAGTCGCTTCACTGCTCCCACATCCCCACTCCGCCGCTTACCAATATGGAAGCGACGATATGTAGGCTAGCCTTGACTGGACACCAGTCCGTCATCATAGCCTCCAGCTATATCCCTAGCAGAACTCCCTACCTTAAGAGCGATTTCGAGGCCATTTTTGCATTAGGCTACTCATTCATTCTATTTGGAGATTTTAAGTCCAAGCATAGGTACTGAATGGACCTGCTTCACTACTACTAGTAGTTGCAAGGTACTACTTGATATCACTCAGTATCTAGACCTGACTGTCTACAGCTCCCTCGCTGTTACCCACTATCACGACATTGTCGACCATGCTCCTGACGTGCTAGACTTTACGCTAATAAGAGGAGTTTCCCTCAACCTTGGAGCAATCGAGATTCGATAATCTAGGATCTGACCACGGTCCTGTATCCCTCATCCTTGGCCATCAGCCACCTCCTCCAAAACCTACACCAACGGGAAGGTCTTCAGGCAGTCCCTAGCCTCAGCTATGGACTCTCCGGACTCTCCCATAACCCTCTCTTCCGATATCCTCGACAGCACGGAAAAAATCGACACCGCGGTCGATAATCTCACCAACCTTATAACATCCTCCCTTAAAGAGAATGAAAAGGTTGTCTTGGTTGTTAATAATAACAGTCTACCCCTAGATATTAGTATAATATCCTTCATTAAAGCCAAGAGAGCTGCTCTCTGTAGAGCTGCACTCTATCCCACCCCTGAATATATACGTACGGCCCAACGTCTCCAACGTAAAGTCCGTTCTAACGTAAAGCAAGTTCCATTTTTCCGAATTTAAAGACCTCGAAAAGAGGAATCTCATGGAGAATATCTCCCCATCCCATACAGCGTACTTCCAGATGGCGAGAGCCCTTCAGATAGACGCTATCATTCATACTCCTCGTCTCTATCGTCCCGACGGCTCTATTGCCTTCGAGGACGATGAAAAGGCCAGTGATTCGCAGACAGCGTTGCCGCGCAATGCTATACCACAACGGTCAGCAACGGGAGGACCGCGGTCCGTTTGCGGACCGCAGGCCAAATATAGTAATGTATTGTATGTCAAGTATAAATAAATACGTAATATTTTAAAAATATTTTGAAAATGCCAACAACTGATATGATTTTATAGCTGCAAATGCATCGACATAAACATCGCGCCGATGTCGTCCCGTGCGCTTTGTTCATACGTATGGCTCCCTTTTTAGGGTATATATATATGTTCTGTGGTATGGCTCCTCAGAAGACCATTTGCAAGCTTGCGACTGATCGCGGCCTAGCGAGTCGCCAGGTATTGTTAACACGCGAGCGAGAGCGAGACGGCATGTACTAGCAACAGCGCGCGCGAGTATCGAAATCGGGGGTGTGGGCGTGCGGGCGGGAGGAAAGCAGAATGCTAGTCGGTCCGTCGCAGCGCAAATCGCGGAGAAACAGTTCATTTGTTTTGTGATTTGTCGAGTTTTTGTTCGTTTAATTAAATTATACTTTTGTACCTAAGCGTGGTATGGATCCTAAAAAGCGAAAAGTGGACAGTGAAAATAGGTTTCTAGAAGAATGGACTGAACAATATTGTTTTACGCTGCCAGATAGGCCTCAAGCAGTTCCAGTGTGCCTTATATGCAATAAAACTGTTGCTATTGTTAAAAATGGAAATTTGAAGCGACACTAGGAAACGACTCATCAGCAATTCCACAAAAACTTTCCTCTTGGCAGTGAGGCTTGTAAAGAAAAACTTCAGGCACATCTCCGTTCTTACAATAAAAGCACAAAATTACTAGTTCGCTGCATGAGCGACCAAGAAAAATCCACAGAAGCCGCGTTACGTGTGTGCTGGATGCTTAATAAACACTAGAAACCATTTTCGGATTCTGAGATAGTGAAGGAATGTATGTTGGCAGCAGTCACGGCACTTTAAAAAAAAAAAGATGTCGCTGGAATTCAAAATATTCCAGAAGAACTAAAATTTAGCTGCTGATATTAAAATAACCCTTTTCGAACTTCTGCAAAAGGCACCTTGCTACGCTGTAGCACTTGATGAGTCATGTGACATTGTTGGTGATGAACAAATGTCAATTTTTGTCAGATTTCTTGACATTGAGTCTAAAACTTTTAGGGAAGAGTAGCTAACAATATTGCCTCTAAAAGGTAACACTCGAGGAGAAGATTTATTCAAGGTAATTGATGAATTTATTACTAAATCTAACATCAGTTACGATAAAATCGTGTCGCTTTTAACTGACGGGGCCCCAGCAATGATTGGCAAAGAAAAAGGTGTAGTAAAGAGAATTAGGGATAAAAATCCAGGCCTAATATCGTATCAGTGCATAATTCACCCTTTGTGGAAAACTTAGCGCTACACTGAAAGAAGTGATGGACAGCTTAGTGAAGTTAGTAAATTTTATGAGATCTCATTCTGCTTTTCAGCACCGACATTTCAAGGAGTTTCTTTTTGAATGTGATTCAGCGTATTCTGACTTACTGCAACACAACAATTTTCGTTGGCTAAGTAAAGGTCAAGTTATTGAACGTTTTTGCCTAATAAAAGAACAAGTAACCTCCTTCTTGCAAAACTTAGATACGCAGGGAGCTAAGAAGCACCTTGAGTTCGTAACAAATAAGCGCAATATGCTGGTTGTGGCTTTTCTAAAAGATATTTTGAAATATTTAAATGCGCTCAACACAGAGTTACAAGGAAATGGAAAATTAATATGTGATCTGATACAAAGCGTGTCTGCTTTTCGTCGTAAGCTGGATATCTTTGAAAAAGATATTGCAAGACAAGAATTTGTTCATTTTCCGACAATTTTGGAATATAAAAAGGAGAACTCTGAAGAAGACATTGCAGTGTTTACAACATTTTTGGCCGATCTTAGGAACGAATTTGCCACAAGATTCCAAGACTTTGCAGAGATGGGCAAGCTGTCTCTGTTTCTTAACCCTGTCACAGTGTGTCACCCTTTGAAGTTGATGTAGCAGCAGAATGGACAGATGTGGCTGCCAAGTTGTTTAATTAGTCAAAGCCATCACTTCAAATGGAAATAATCGATCTGCAAGAAGATGTGTCTTTGCAAATATATAAAACTGTGTCAACTGAAGAATTTTGGGTCAAACATGTCCCAGTAAAATATGAAAATTGCAAAAAACTTGCTATCAATTTGGCCACTATGTTTGGTTCGACATACGTATGCGAAACATCTTTTTCAAAGATGAATTTTTTGAAAAACAAATATCGTTCGAGATTAACGGACGCTCACTTAGAAGACACTCTTCGAATTTGCTGTTCTTCTCGAGAACCAAACTATAAAAACCTAGCTCAAGACCGTCGATGCAATTTTTCACATTAATTCTACCATTTTATAATTCAGAATTTTACTCCTACAATAAATAGCTGCCTAACACTTAATTATTATCAGTTGTTTTTTTCTGGATCTTGTAAAAATTTTGAAGGTTTATCCGGACCCTACCTAAAACTACCTGCCGACCCTGCTATACCAGCTCACAGCCAACCGACCCCTCCCACATCCAGGCATTGGAGGATGAGGTCCGCCAGCGGAACTCACCCCCCACTATTTCTGACCCTATCACTGTGTCCAAAGATGAGATTTCATCTTTCATCAAAGGACTGAAGCTCAAAAAAGCACCGGGCGCGGATGGCATCTCCAACGAAGCCCTTAAACATTTTCCGGAGCAGGCGATCACCTTACTGGTGTTAATCTTCAACGCCTGCTTCGACTTCAGGTACTTTCCCTACTCTTGGAAAGAGGCAACTGTCATTGGCATTCTTAAACCAGGCAAGCCTCACCACCTCCTCTCCAGTAATCGTCCCATCAGCCTCCTCAAGGCCATGGGCAAACTTTTCGAACGTGTCATCCTTACTCGCATGAGGCGCCATCTGTTTTTAACAGACGGCGACCCTCTAGTCATCCCCCACCAATTTGGTTTCCGAGCCAAATTCATGCCCCCCAACAAGTTTACCGTATGGTAGAATACATCCTTAGCGGTTTTTATCCTCGTCGTCATAGGACCATCGCGGTCTTTTTCGACATAGCAAAGGCGTTTCATAGAGTCTGGCATGAAGGTCTTATCTACAAACTATACTAAGAAAAAAAATTGCAGCACAATGACACTAAGCTGTCGATACTTGGAAGATTTTTGTATAATTCATAATATAACACATTTTTAAAGCCTCTAACTTTCGTGGTGTTGTGACTATAAATTATTATTATAGTAAAGAATCATTACCTGTCACTTTAAATTGTAACTTCGCTCCCACACTAGCCATTAAATATATGTAGTGGTACTTATATTGATTGCTTTTAATTCAATAATTTAATATATTTATTTTATTTTTTGTATGTATATATGTTTGTAGTATTATAAAATGTGTATTCTTCTTATCACACCAATTTGACCTACCCCGTCATTTCTGTGTAATATTTGTTCGTCCATTCATTGGTTGTCTGGAAGAAATTGCTATCAGCATAGCATACTTCTTTTGTATATATAATCTGTAATTTTTGTATGGTGTGCAATAAATGATGTTAAATAAAATAAATAAATCATCCCGTTAGAGTCCACAACGGGATACGAGCCTCCCCATTGCAAGGAAGATTTGTCTTAATCGATACGCTTGGCGGGCGGCTAGGCGACCACAGTGCGGGTTTTCTCGCACCTTCCATGCTGGTTCCCACCATCGCAGTCTATATATTTACATCTGGTTTAGACTAGATCATAATATCGGAGGCCATCAGAAGCAACATCTTTGACAAACAGACATACAACGAAGGGATTCCTTTAAAGATTTTTATTAGGGAAAAGGAAAGAGTACCTACCTAACCACGTAGTTTTTCTTCATAGATGATTAATCACATCCACAAATATCTTAAACTTCCTTGTGATAGCGACATACGAGAATTGGTTAATTGAGTCAGTCAGTAGCGCCGAAGTAATTTATCAATAGATCAACAGATGGAGAAATTACTTCATCAGCGCTATGAATTTTTAAGAATCCGCTTAGACGTATTTCTTGAAAGATATTATCTTTTACGTGGTAGAGTCACGAATGTTTCATTCATAAAGGGCTCAACTCGAGCGGGAAACACTCAGGCTCGCACTAAAATACCAACGTAGCAATCAGACTATCTCAATATGAGGAATTAACATAGTTTAGCAGGGCCTAGAACGTTTTTACGTTGGGCATTTTTCCTAACAATGAAAATTTAATATTCAAAGTTGATATTATGTGAGACCACAATGCAATTTATTACTACGTAATCGAACACAAATTATGAAAGAAGTATGCAAGAAAAGTAAAAAAACAACAACCCGTTATTATCTTAATTTTTACTATATGGTATACTATTAAAACTGGTGTGGGTAAATTAATAAACAAATATTTTTAGGTTGTAGTACATAAAAGTAACATAATATTTTACTTTAAAGTCTATTGTTACATTTGTTAAATTTAGCTTACAAATGAAAGTCAAACGATCATTGCATAGTTACTCATTAAGTATAATAATGTGTAAATACAATTTATATTAGAAAATAAAACCAATTTAACTACTAAAAAGCGGTAATATAAAAAACTTTTGATTCAGGTACTTGCCCTAAATACAGATTTTTTTTACTAACTAATCCAGTGACATCCCAGCGTCACCATCCTTTTTACCATCCTTGTCTTCTTTAGCTTTTTCCTTTTTCTTATCCTCTTCTTGACTCTTAGATGAGTCTGAAGCATTAGAAGTGCTCTCCAGGGCTTTGAAGAACGCTTGCATATCACCTGTATTTGCTGCCGATGCTACTTCCGAAGGGAGACCAAACTGAGTCATTATTGGTCCCATCTGGCCAGATGTCAGAGCAGAAGAAAATTGATTGGCTGCCTGTAATTTAATGTAATGTTTTTGTATTTTAATGTTTGTCCTTGCCTAATAAAACTATTTTATAATTCATTTCTTTGGTGTTTTTTTACTCATAAATAAAAAGACTAAAAATTTTATATGGATTATGAATTTATTCACTAGTTAAAGATTTCGTAAATAAATTTTGAGATCACAAACTTATTTAATTCTTAACACTATAATTAAAAAGGCTGTAATTTGAATATAATTTAGAACTTAATGCAGTCAAGCGTACTTAAAACTTTTTCTAAACAATGGTAGGTAGATGTAAAAAGTTCTAGTTATAGATGTAGTAGGTTCTAAAACTTGCGCAATTTTGTAACTTCTGTAAATGCTTTATTTTTACGCTTTTTGTCGAGAAGATTATTGTAATACAGCAAAAGTTTGATTATTGTAATACAGCAAAAGTTGAAATGACATCTTTAATACAGCTTTTTGTACCGATGACATTAATAATAATTCACGAGGTTAATAATAAACAACAAAAATATATAATAACTCAAATTGATTTGGTTCAGAATTTATTTTAATTTTCCATGTTTATTTAATATATTAATAAAAAACTAAAGACATATGCAATGACCCAGCTATATAATGTGATAAAACAGGTTACAGCGTGTTTAAAGACGATCGAGTATGAAGAAACTGAAAATTTATTGAAATAAATAGAACAATATACACTATAGCATAAATACTTACCGCAACAAAATAAACAAACAGACACACACACACACGAGCGCGCGCGCGCGCACACGCTCGCACGCACGCACTACACGCACTCATCGCACACATACACGCGCGCGCGCGCGTTTACACGCACACAATATAATGCTTACGTATGCGTAATTTTATATGTATCTAAAATTGTTATGGAAGAGCGGGGTCCCCTAACACAGGTATTGATATACTTAGAAGGAGACTCCAGCCTAGTTGATATATTTACATTTAAGATACTGAATAAAGAATTTTGAATATGCAGCGGTATTTAAACATAAACAAAACCATAAGGGCATCATATCGGGCAAGGCATAGAACGCCACTTACTTCAACGAGGAGTCCTCGCCGAGGACCTAGATTGATTTAAACTAGACATATGTCAATCGTGTACGATTCGTTCCTTTGAACCAGGCACTTAAAAATATCGATGATTCATTCTCCTGTTTTTGAATGTTCCGGTTCGACCAATCACAAACAATTGACGAAACCGTTTGAACTTGTGATTGGTATGAATAATGAATGAGTCGAGTGAATTATTTCGTTTGTAGGGTGCACAGTGCATGCATTCGCCAGTGTTGCCAAGTTAGGCGCTTTTTAGCTATTTAGGCCAGCTCTAAAGTAATCAGAACAACCAAAATTGTGATTTGCAACTAGTCGCCAATTAGGCTATTTCAGAAATAAGGAGATTGTAAAGGATATTCAATGAAAATTTTATAAGAAAATAATAAGATGTAGATTTTGCAACTGGCTTTTTGAGTAAATTTTTTTATTCCATTGTAGTCTACATGTACGCTTACAACCATTATTACTTTGATAAATAATATGCCGCTACAGGCTACATGAGTTTAAACTAAAGTATTTTCTTAAAATATTACTGATAAAACTTGGGCGACTTTTTAAGACTGTCTACTCTGCGTCAAATTTTTTGGGACTTGGACTCTCGGCTAGACTAGGCAACACTAGGACTCATGACAGTTAATGAAGTAATAATTATAGATTACAGAGTAAACACAAAATGCACATGCAAGTTTATGGCAGGTTATGACAACAAAAGTTTATTTAAATAAAAATTTACAATATTTTATTTAAAAATAAACATTGCTCAACCTTTTTTTAGCTTCAAATTACTTAGCTTGTTATATGTTGTTAAACCTACTTTAGGACATATCCGTTTACAGGACATGCTGGTAGTACTAAATCAAAAGAATATTTTCTTTCCAGTTACATTGCTTTGTAATGGCGCCATTTCGGTAAATTATGAAGTCGTGTATTGTTATGAAAGAAAATAAAAAATAAACAAATTTATTAAATATATAAAATATAAAATAATATCTAATAAAATTTTCAAGTTTGTCCAATTCATTCCTCACAATCGACGATTTCTTAACTATATTATTATATTTTAATACTGCTGCTCAAAAAATTTCAAACATTCTCCTATCTTTTGGCTTACATTCTTTACATAAATACATAAACACTCACGCCTGTCACCCAGAGAGGTAGGCAGTGACTACAGACTCCATTTGGCACGATCCTGACACACCTCTTTCGCATCCTTCACATCCATATACCTACGCATACATGCTCGTCGGTTAAGGGTGGCTCCTAATCTGGCCCGTTTTTAATAAAGCCCTAATTTGGTCGATAAATTTTCGCCTAGGACGTCCCTTTCCGACTCTGCCATTCACTTCTGCAAGATAAGTTTTCTTTGTCACTCTTTTCTCATTCATTCTTTCCACATGACCAAACCACCGAAGCATTCCTTTCTTAATCCTGGTCACAACATCATCTTGCAAACCACACTCTTGTCTTATCACACAATTTCTCACCATGTCATTCAGATTCAGCCCTAACAGACTCCTTACTGACTACGTTTCTACTGCATTTATTCTACTCTCGTGCTTCTTCTGCCACACCCAACTTTCACTACCATACGTTAAAGTAGGGACCAACAAAGCATTCTTTACTTGCTCATTATAGTTCCTGAAGTTAAAAAAAGACATTATTAGTACCTAAAGCAAAATAACAAAACAAAATCTCATTTTTCACTTCATATTTTTAATTTTTCTTATCTCATCCGCACCTAGGGTTTTCTTACATTGTCTGAAGCTAAACCAAACGGCACAAGCTACGATGCTTCCTCTGACGCTGCGACAATTGGTGACCAGCACAGTAAAGAAATCTGTAGTAATGTGTTTGCCAGGGTTTGCAAACGGCTTAAAAATATCAACTGTGATCTCTTTTTTAAGCAATTACTGAGTGGCTACGATTTAATGTGCCTATAAAAACTAGTTTTATTTAAAGAGAGAGAATGTTGAATAATGATCACCGAAAATGAAATGAATTTATAAAAAAATATTGCTTACTCACACACGCACATACAATCGATACATTTACGGTGGTAATACAGTCACAAGCCCACTCGTGCATTCCATGTGTCGGCGTCCTATACACAATATTTTGTAATATATGCCAGATACCAAATGCGATTGCAAAGTTTCGCCAGCTAATTTTACTCAATAATTGGAAAATTAAGTATACTAATACCAACAATGAAAGAAAAAAAAACAGGGCGCTACGTACTTTTCAAGGGATGTTAAAACCAAGCTAAAACCATACTCAGCTTATTGTAAGAACACGCACTCACGTACATGTATGCATCTAAAATCATTTGAAACCATAAACATGATTTTAGTCCATCAGTAAACTTTTACGAGCTGATAAAGAAATAAAGAAAATATGTATACGAGTGCATGTCAAGACGTTGAGCATGGTTTCGGTTTCACATAATGCGGCTACAAAATATACGCAGCGCTCCGTCTTTCTTCCTTTATTGGTCAGGGCAAGTATCAAGTTTAGTTAGGTATAATACATAAAATGAACTATTTTATTGTGTGCATGTTTAGTCAGCTTGCAATTCGAATATGTAAATTCGAGCACGTCAAAATGTAACTACGAAGCTTCTTCTTCTTAATCTGCATATTACCGTTATATATGTATATATCAAAAAACAATTATTGTGATGCCAGCGAGACTAAAGTAAAATAAAAACAAAAATGTCACGAGCGACCGTCATTAGCCCCTGAATCTCCATAAAAATCCCATGCAGTCGCATGCGTCCGTCAAATCCGGAGCGAGTACTGCGGGTGTGCGCGGTCGAATCTGACCGCTTGGAATTTGACGAAATATCGCCTTGATTGGATATGACCACTTGGGGTTTGAGAGGTTAGGCTAGCATGAAGATTGACTATGATTCCAACACTAGCAAATTATCATGCGCAGTTACTAAGGGCTTTCACAAAAATTTGCTAATATTATTTCGTTAAAAATTTATCGATAGCAAATAATGTACGTTTATGTAGCATTACTACGATAATGTACAACTTTATCAAGTCTAAGACGAAAACCCGAATATGATAGAATTATAGTTTCTGTTGTACCTGTATCTACTGTTTGATTTTAATCATCTATTCACATTCACAAAGTGATTATTACAAAAATTGTGAAGTATGTGTATACAAAATGATATATTTAAGATATATAAACTATCCCCTAGAATTGATTTAAAATAACTTAATTTAAAAACCCCCGAAAGGAAAAGAGCTGATGATCTTCAAACAGCTCAACTGATTTTCTTGAAACATAGCTAACAATACTCTCGATTAAGACCTTTCAAAGGAAAAAAACTTAATCAATATCGTATGTTCGTCCGTTCAGGAGCCATGATATCACAGACAGCAACACACACACATACATTAACACACAGATATACACTACAAACTTATAACACAAAACATTCTTAGCAGATATTGACGAAAGCTTAACCCACTGCAAGGCACAGGCCTCCTTTCATTTCTGAAAGGGTTTCAGGGCAAGGAAATATCCGCCGATGCGAGTTGGCGAACTTCACATGTCCTCGATATATTTTTTTTACTATACAAAACACAGCAGCGTTATGCTGCCATTTTACGCTGGTATTCGGTGAGAGTGTGCTCCTTCCCCGGTTGAGCCGACCCATGCATATGAGCATGGCTCTACAACATAATTATTTAATAAATTTGTTATTTTTTAAACTGTTTATTCGTATTAACCATGTTTAAAGCCCCGCACAGACAGGACACTGATGTTTGTATGTTTGTCTCTTTTTAATGTAACCTTTGCGTTTTATTGGGTTTCAAACCACAAAGTTATATATATATATATATATATATATATATATATATATATATATATATATATATATATATATATATATATATATTATATATTAAATAGTATGCTTATAAATTGAAAAAAAAATATGATTCTATGAAATGAATACACCCTTCTATGGGTATGAAGATAAAAGGACATTTGCTATTATTAAGCAGAAGTGGTTAGTAGTAAAAGACAAGAAAATGCCCATCAGGCTAAATCACGAAGGTCCAAAAGAGGGCCTAGTACACACACGCCAAACCTGGATGGAGACTTATAACGTATCTTGCCATCAATTTCAAAAGACGTGCAGCTATTGCTTTCAGCTAAAAATCGATTATACTAAGCATTCTTTATACAATGATTGATTTATGTATTAGAATAATTATTAAATGATTTGTTTTTAATTATATTACTTAATAAAGAATTGAAGCTCGACAGTCCAGTCACTTAAAACCGATTTACATTTCGACAAGTACAGTAGCGAGTTTAGTTACAGGGCAGTTGACAGTAAACGTTAACGTTCAAACAATGTCTTCGTGGCGAGGTTCGTTAAGGATATTAGTTAATAGAGTTCGTTAGAGTATGATGTTTCAAGACTACAGAATTTTTCTTGTTTTTGTTTAAGATGTTTCTAGGATTACATAAAGAATTGAATGATATAGTTAGAGAAATATTATTGGTTGTTGTTAAAGAAGTTTTTAAAAATTTTCATGAGTGCAGCATCACGAGCAGGTTTAATTTTATAAAATGAACTTCCACTATTATATAAACATTCGTGATCTAAATACTCATGTACGAATTTATACGTGACATGTTACGTCCATTTCATTATTAAAACTCCATATAAAACGTATAAATATTCAATAAACAGTACCGTACAAACTTTGTGGCGAGTTTAATAATTATAAAAGTACAATTACATATAAGTTTTAACGCGCAAACGTTGCGTGTCCCGTCAACTTATGTACTGAACTAAACTCGCTCGTTCACACAAGCGGCGAGTTTAGTTGCGGGTGGCGGGAGACGCGCGGGGGGGGGGGCAAACACTTCGCACTTAACTCGCCGAAAAATAGCCCGGCCGGCTATCCCATTCAACTTAATTGTTAACTTGCTGCTTAACTCATAACTCGCTACTATACTTGTCGAAGTGTAAATCGGACTTTAGCGTTTGGCTGCGGCTCGGCGCCGCAATTTTTTTATGGCGTTCATGGCTTTGTTTTGAAAATATTTTGCTATGAATTCTTTTCCTATCTAGGAGTTTCTTTGAGTAAGTATCACCCTCAAACTAGAAGACAATAGTGAGTAAGAAAACAAATATATTAACAGACTGGGGCGTTGGGAAAAAATAGTAACCTTTAGTTTTTCCTCAAATTGTTTTAAGAACTACTTATTTAAATATATGTTTGTAAAGTATCCATATTAAAAACTTACCAATCATGAATTTTTATAACATATATATGTTTATTCATGTCATTATATTACTTAAAACTAATATTGCACATAAAAATTTCTTTTTTCGGTTCCAAATTCTATTCTAGCTTTTTCTGCCAAAAGACCACTTCTTCAAGTGAGACTTTGGTTCTATAGTCACATATTATGAATATTTGAGGAATGAGGACTATAATAATAACATTATAGCTTATCTAAAATCCACTGTTGTACCCACTATAGATTGTCTCAAAGAAAGAATATTTGCCATGCTTTACTAGGGAGTTGACTGTTTTTTCTTTATTGATATTGAAATGTTTAAATGTAGAAGTGTCGACTTGATCCATGTGCCTCGCGTAGATATGTTGCATCTGTGTGCATATTGTATTGCATGTACCGCGGGTAGTGCTCAAAGGAATTATTCGGGTTATTCGTATGCTGAATTTCATCATCGTACACTGCGACAGAATTCGAAATTCCATCCTCCTTATCTCGATGGTTGGCGGTCCACTACCTTGTGATTTACGTGGAAAATTTGCCTCGCACGATCATACTGTGGAATTTACAGTCGCCAGCGGTTTTTTCGGACCGATACGACTTAAGTAACTTCAAGAAAACAGTCTACTCCTTCGGCGACGCACCTACAATTTTACTAGTGATGCAAAATGTACTGTTATATAAACATAGATTTTAAATCTAGATTCATTTTATAGTATCAAAATCTTATAACCAAACTCTAACGACAAGACAATGTTAATAACACGACATTAAGAATAATTAAATGTCCCTCGCACTCTTAAATCGTACTTCGAGTCGTTAAGGTGGTAATTTTAATTGAATAAACGTATGGGGCATCGTATATCTGTCGGCAACAGCTGCACGTGTGCAAGATACGTGGGCGGCATGGCGGCGCTGCGATATCAGGGGGTTCACCTGCGCGAACTGCGGAGAGAGCAGTGTGGTCCTTACATCGTCGTGGGGCTGGGTGACGGGCGCGGGAGCGGGCAGGTGGGGCGCGAGGCGCTGCGCGTTGCGCGGCTCGCTGGCCGCCGCCACCACGTCGGGCGCCGCCAGCGCCGCGCCCAGCTCCACGCGGCCCGCCCCTCCCGCGCCGCCCTCCGCACCCTCCGGCGCGTTGCCCAGCCCCGAGAAGTAGCGCTGCAGGTCCGACAGGAAGATCTGCCCGCCTGACACAAAATCCTACATTTATTATATATTCAAAAACTAATTTTAATGTATGGTAGTGAAAGCTGGGTGTGGCAGAAGAAGCACGAAAGTAGAATAAATGCTGTAGAAATGCGGTCTTTAAGGAGTATGCTAGGGTTGAATCTGAATGACAGGGTGAGAAATTGCGTGATAAGAGATAAATTTGGTATGCAAGATGATGTTGTGATCAGGATTAAGAAAGGAATGCTTCGGTGGCTTGGTCATGTAGAAAGAATGAATGAGGAAAGAATGACAAAGAAAAAAAATATGGCAGATTTGAATGGCAGAGTCGGGAAGGGACGCCCTAGAAAAAAGTTTATCGACCAAATGTGCGATATTTTGAAAATGGGCCACGTTAGAAGTATCTTTAACCGACGAGCATGTATGCGTAGATATATGGATGTAAAGGAGGCGAAAGAGGTATGTCAGGATCGGGCCAAATGGAAGTCCGTAGTCTCTGCCTACCCCTCTGGGTGACAGGAGTGAGTGTTTATATTATTTATGTTATGTTAAATTTAGGCATTTTGGTGCGTGTAATTTATTTTTCATTCCAGATGTTTTAGGTGATTTACACCACTCAACGACTAATTTTCATGTAAATATAATAAACTTTACAACCCGATTCTAGCCTATCTCTCTTGTGTTACATTTAGTAAAGGTCATAAATTATAAATAATTATTGAAATAAGTATTACTATATAACATCTTACATAGAGGAAGCTCGTAGTGACGGTGTAAGAATATCCCCTACCCAATATGAACGATACTTGAAGTCGTAAGAGGCGACAGAGAGAAAAAGAAACGGGACGTGGGCAGCAGCATATATCTGATAACAACTCAAAATAATAAAAAAACTGCGCTTGCCAAACCGAACCGCCTGCCAACCAACTATTGCAAACTCTATGAGGCCGTCTATGCGGATATTATGTTCAGCAGAAGACTTTCAAAGGCTGTGATGGATGAATACTATTACAAATATATAAATTAATAACTAATTAACTCCTATTCTAAAAGATAAGTAATATAGTCACAAAATTTTAATCAAATCAGAATGAGTTTACGGTTTGAAAAATGGATTTTGTAGAAAGCAAAAAAATAAAATTCCTAGAAAAAGTTATAGAAACCAGTGACTCGTAACAAAACCAAATGTCATGAAAATTTTTGTAATAGCAACATAAATTTAAAATAGTAATTATGTAAGATTTCATACCATTAACATTTTCCTAGGCATAGACCTGTATTATATTACTACTGTCTACTCCTAAAGGTACATATTAGTATGCTTACGCATTGTTACAATTTTAGTACTACAGTAGAGCCGACCACCGAGTGTCACCACTGTAGATCTGTAGATGCGATGACAAGTTACCCTTGAGGGTTGCTTAGCTTGGGCTGAGCTCATCATCACCTCTACCTTTCAACTTTGATTAAAATAAAGATCAGATTAAGAGGTGATATCGCATTAGGCTTCGGAGAGCCTACTGCGATATCACCTACTTAAGAGAAAAGCAAAAGGATGCAGGCGAGGAACCGGGCGGCGGGAGAGCATATCAAGCACTTTCATCTTCTCATAATTGAAATCTAGACGTATCCACAGTGATGTGTTTGTGATTCTACGTGAACTCTCTGAAGGGAATTTTTACACATGTTTGACTGTGTAAAAATTCCATTCAGGGAGTTCACGTAGAATCCAATTTTGTTTCTAGATTTTTTTCCCATTGCATGTAACCGTCGTAGAAGAAATGCATGTTTAACATGTAACTGTTTTGCAAATTGCATGCTTGATTGAGTCTAGAAATCTCAGACAAGCAGTGCTTGCAAATGGTTGATTTACAATTCCTGCTATCTTACAGAACATGGTCCATCATACAAATCGAAATTACCACTTATAAATTTTACGAATCACTCACGAGACGTAATTTCACTCACGACATATTTACGGTAATATGCAGAATATACGAGTATTTGTCTGTGATTTCGGTACCGTCTTACAAATATTAAATTGAAACAACATACAGCACTGAATATGCACTTTATCGATTTCGATTTTTTTAACCAAATAAAATAAATACAATTGGAAAAGTTTCAGATGGAAACATTTTTACCCAATTACAACACCAACTAGTACAAACTACATGCAACGCCGAGAACCTTTGCACACCCCTGATAAATAATTCGACAATATACAATATGAACATATGAAGGAGGGCTTGTATCAATAAACATAATTTAACTCTACCTGCAACAGGAAGCACGGGCAACTAACTTTGTCAATGCTTTTTGTTGCTGCCGGTCCCAAGCCCGGAAAAGAGGAGGGAACGGTTCCGCCGGAAAGAGTGGGTGTATCCGGTGGACTAATACACCCACCTGCGCTAGGACCTGCGCAGTTGAGCGCCGTATGCGGGGATGAAGGAGTCCTGGAGGGTTGAGCCGATCGTCACTGGGGTATATAGTGTCGAGAGGCAACACGCCCTCTTTGGTCCGGATTTCAAGCTAAACGGTGGCCTTATCTGCTAGTCACAGATAAGGAAATGGCCAAGCGTCCCGTCAGAGGGTCGCAGGCGAGGGATGTGGGGGCTGCCTAGTCTCCCTGAAAAGGGCTAGGTGGTGGAAAGGCCATGCTGACGGGGCAAGTGAAAGTCAACTCGGGCAGTGGGGATGGGCCTTTTCAGCCCTATCTGCCAGCTGGATCGAGCTCCCGATGTCGTGCTGTGAGCCAACTCTGCGTCCCTATATTCCCCCCGGTAATCCTAACGCCTGAAATTCTTTTAATAAAGTAGGGCGTTCCCAAAGGTGCGGGCTCCATGGAGGATGGGAAGCCGGGGGGACGAATTATTACACATGTCACCCAAAATGGTGACTTGCCGACCCGACGCACCATCAGGTGGGTCTATCCCAGCAGGCAGTAGCGCAAAGGTAAAAAAGAAGAAGCAGCGAGAAAAGGGCCGCAGAGAAAGAGCCGCGCTCGCTGCTTCCAAGAGCAAGACTCGGGGAGCTGGGCAAGCTACTGCTACTGCGGTGCTTGGGGCTGGAACCAGTAGTCGTGCTGAAACTGGGAAGGATGAAAATCCAGCCCGAGTAGTAGGCGCGGCCACCGGAACCAGCTCTAAGAAATCCGCCAGGAACCAGAGAGCAGCCAAGCGTCCTGGAAAGAAGGAAAGAGCAGCCAAAAGATTGCTGGAGGAGTCCACCTCGCCGAGAGGAGAGCACAAAAAAGTGCGACTTGAACAGCAAACAAAGGCTGCAAGAACAAGCTACGCTTCTGCTGCTAAAGCAGATTTGGGTGTGGCCTTAAAGTGTGCGCGTTCAGGTCACATAACAAAGGAGATAGCTGATGACATCCTCGTGGCTATACAGAGGAAGATGATCAGCGAGGCCTGGAGTAACCAGGACCCTGATGCGTCGGGCTCGGTTTTTAGAGACAAACCCGTTTACACGGAGGGTGTCCCAAAGCTGTGGTGCGATGACCAGAAGGCTCTGGACTGGTTGAAGGGGAATATTAATACCCTCGACCTCAAATCCAACACTATTAAGACTATTAAGAAACAGTCAGAGATACCACAAAGAATCGAATGTGGTATCCTTATCCCTGATGCCCAAGGTGCCTGGAAGGCCTCACGCGACATTGGTCGTGTGCTTGCGTACCAGAACCGCTGGGTAAACATCAAGGACTGGCTACTACTTAAAGCGGATAAACAGACGGACGGGTGGTTCCTCGTTGTTTCGGTGCCGGAGGATCATATCCAGACCCTGATGAAAGCCGGGCGCCGCCTCGCATGTGTATGTGGGGCGGTATACGTTAAATCCAGGGTCGTGGAGGAAAATTCGTTGATTCCCCACCTAGCAAAGAGGCAGAAAAGAACCCGGAAGTCATGGTTGCCGGTACATCGAAATCACTGGATGTCAAGTCCAGTGAAAAAACTGCCTGCACAACCGAGCCGAAGCCCCCAGTGGAAACTGAGCTCAGCGGCAGCTCACTGAGCGACGAAGAGGACTGCATTTTGCCGTCCAATTCCGACTCGGTGGCTGACGATGAGACCCGAGATCTGCTGGCAGCACAAAACACCTAATATAGCGGAATAGAAATGCCTTGGTTTCAATTTAATTGCGTTACTACTGTCGCCGCTAGTCTCCCCACTCCTTGCAGGTAGTTAACACACTCAACTCATATACGCTAGTGCTTGACAAAAAACTATCGATACGGAATAATGTAGGTAATAAATATGTGATAAAATAAAACAGTATAATGATATAATATGAAACGTGAATTTAATGAAATAAACTTAATACTATAAAAAAACGTAAAGTAGAAAAAATTATTAATTATAAGGAGTAAAACTTATACAGTATAATAGAAAAAAAATAAGACATTTTCATCAAAAACAAAATATTTATTGAAATATTTATTTATTTATTGTCTGTAAAATGCAAATATTTATTTAAAAGTTGTCTTTTTGATACTTTTTGTGCTGAGGTTTTCATCAAATGGTGAAGGCGAATATCTGTATACCTTTCTATAATACATTTTGTTAACAATATTACATGGTTTTCCATTGGTCCCTGATCAAATTGATGAAAATCGATTTCTCTGAATACTTCAACGCCAATGAAATGACGTAAAGCTCTGTATGTTATCTGCTCTTTAAACTTTTCAAAATTTTTGACTAATTGAGCATCTACAGTAAAAGTTTTAAGAATTGATTCAATTTTTTTACTAATCAAAATTACGTCAGCGCTAGGAAAAATAAGACCACCGTTGTCTTTCAAACGTATCATTTTAAAATTGTCTATAATAGCACTGGAATTCAAAAGAGCCGAAATGCAAGTTTCGCATTTAATTTTGTTTCGTAAAAAATGTACCACATTTCCTGCTATGTAGCTTACTACTTCCAAACTAAATTCTGTCATGATATTTTCTGTTTTCAAAACTTCATAAAATTCTTTAATATATTCTACATTTCCATTTCTTCTTCAATCATTGGTGATAAAGTAGATTTATTAATTTTTTCCACTGATGAATAACAAGTCAAAATTGAAATATTTTCAAGTACCATGCAATTACCACTTTCAAAATTATTCAATTCTAGTTTGACTATTAGTTTTTTTATAAATAGCCATGAAATGTCGCGCTGTCGGGTTGTTGTTACACCCACCATGAGCTCTTATATTACCGAATAACAACTCCAGATGATCTTGAGACAACTTATAGGTGGGCAAATATTTTAATTTTTTTTCTTCTTCGACAAGCCTTAGGTATAAATTTTTGACACTATTGATGCATACCAAAAGACCTAAAAACCCGGTATTTTAGGTGATTTAATTATTTCCGTTTCGTTATACATTTTTAGGTTTTTTATATATGCTTCCATTTTAATTAACTTACCGCTACACGAAAAACAACACGCCTATAGGTTAGGTAAATCAACAGAATCGGCCCTTCACCAGGTAATAACAAAGATTGAAGAGGCCATCCAAAACAAAGCAATATGTCTAGGCTCCTTCATAGACATAGAAGGTGCTTTTGACAGAACAAATTTCTCTAGCATAAAAGGTGCCCTAAGTAGACATAATGTTGAACCGGCACTGATTGACTGGATAGTAAACATGCTCAGTACACGAACAATAAAGATTGCTGGTGAGTCTCAGACAATTCAGATCATGAAAGGATGCCCGCAGGGTGGGGTTCTTTCACCTCTCCTGTGGAATATGGTCATTAATGAACTCATCAGCAAATTAAACGCTAACCATTTCTACACAGTCGGTTATGCAGATGATCTGACAATACTGGTCTCTGGTAAGACAGCAAGCATTGTGTGCGACCTGACCCAAGCGGCTCTCCATATTGTGGAGAGATGGTGCAGGGAATATGACCTAACCGTTAATCCAAATAAAACGCTTATAGTAATGTTCACACAAAAACGAATGCTGAATAAGTATCATCTTCCAAGTCTTTTCAGTACAAAACTCCAACTTTCTTCCGAGGTAAAATACCTAGATAGATAGAATTTAACTGAACTTACTGCGCGGTTGTGTGGCACTAGCAGTGTTGGGTGGCGTTGCGGCCGGAGCCACTTCACGGCGGGTAGTGGTACGTGCGGGCGCTGCAGGGGTAGCAGGGGTAGCAGTGGTGGCAGAAGTGGGGGTGGCGGTAACAGCGACAGGCGCAGGTGTCGACTCGCTGGTTCGTGGCGCGCTGCTACCACGAGAGCTGCCGCCACTACCACCTGAAGCACGTGCGCTACCACTACCGCTACCTGAACCTGTGCCGCTGCTGCTGTTGTTGCTAGTAACATTACGAATGCAATTACTGCAAAGTCAAAACTAGGAGGACTTTAAAAGAAATGTTTCGTGATTACTTTTAATTATTTTATAAGCTCCAATTCTTACAAAAAGTGACATTTATTATAAAACAAATTTATTTTTGCATATTATAAAATATTAACAGCCGTGGTAGCTCAGGGGTAGCATAAGCACTCGCTGTTAATTTCTCAGTACCCAAGTAACCAGGGTTTAGTCCCCACTGGCACCATTGATAATGTTAATTTCAATTTTAAGAACTGATTTACCACGTGCCTGGCGGTGAAAGAAAACATCGTGAGGAAACCACATGTTTGAGAAATAAGAAAAAATAATTGAAGACATGTGAAGTTCGCCAAGCCAAGACGCATTGGGGCGGCACAGAGGATATTTCCTTGCCCTAAAACCTTCTCAGAAATGAGAGGCCTGTGGGACAAATATAGGCTGTAAACTTTATTATAAAATAAGGTTTTATTCTAAAGGAACTATTAATGCACTACACAAATTTTAGTAAGCCTAACTCTCATAGAAAAATGGGCATTCTCCTTTTTACAGCTTTCATAAATTGATTTTTTTTCTTTTGAATCAGTTTTTCTATACAATGTGATCTTGTGCTCTTGTAGTCTCACTTTCATTATTGTTGTATATATTTTTCATGATAGTTTTGTTATTTCGTAACCTATTCTGAATGGTCCTGTTTTTTTGTTCCTTGGATATGCTTCTGTTACCTATTTACTACATTCATTGAATCCTCACATACATGTTTAGTGCATCTCTGTTTCACCTTTTAAACTTTACTTGTACAACTTCAAGTCAGTAAAGTTCTTCACACAGAGCACACACACAAAACGATTTCAAGCTACCACCAAAATAAGTAAATTAAATGCGATAGAGTCCGTAAATATAGTTTTATTCAATGTATAGTGTTTGCGTAAATTTAAGAAATCATTATGTTTTTATAGTTTTTTAAGACTGAAAACCACCATTTCTGTCACTTTTTGACTCACTGGTTCATACATTATTATTACTATAAAGAATCCTATACTATTAAACGAGCAATTCTTGTATATATATATATAATCGAGATCTCAGAAACGGCTTCAACGATTTTCATAAAATTTAGTGTCCAGGGAGTTTCGGGGATAATAAATCGATCTAGCTAGGATTTATTTTTAGAAAATGTCTTTTTGTCTGTGTTTTTAGGCAATGAAAAACTGCTACAATATCGTTAGAATAAGAAGGTAAATTTTGACAAATTGTCAGTCATTATAAATAGCTTAATTGGTATAGTGGGCGGTCACAGAATCTTAAAACCCCGATTCGAGCCCAGACCGACCAACCAACTTTTTTTTAATTTTTTTTTTCAAGTTCCTTTCTTTTTTTGAGAAAATCTATTTTTTCGAGCCCTTTTTTTTAGTATTTTTTAAAAACACGAAAATTTAAATTAAACTAATTGCACTCATGATTTTTTATTCAAATAACCAGTTCAGTTTTTTTCTATTATGTCGCTAAGATCAAAAAATATTATTCATATTTCATCAGTATGTAATTTGTAACAGTATATAATTTCCAAAACACACGAATTAAAAAAAAAACCGAGCGAAAAATACCGAGCAAAGCTCGGTCAATCGGGTACTGAACTAAAAATCTTGAAATTCTTGTAACGTTGAAAACTCATTAACTCGATTTTTTTTAGCATATCCCATGAAATTCGAGTTACCAGGGTTCTACTGTATACACATTCATATGAAATAACAATCTTTGTAATACATTATTATAAGTTTATAAGTATCATTACCCCATAGTTCCCAGTAGTGATGATAAGCCTCCAATTTGACCTACACCTCCAAATAGTTGCATAAGCTGTTGTTGTGACATATTATTGAGAAGATTTTGCAGTTCTCCATCTTGTGCTCCACCTCCACCTCCCCCGCGTCCACCAGATGTTGGGGGATTGTTCAAAGCTTCATTTATACGACGACAGTACTCATCATCTTTATCAGTTTTCGGTTCCTGGAATTTTCATTCTTATTTACTTTTTTATATATCTTACATTTCAGAAGAAATAATAATAAAATTGTATTTTCCCTTCAAAAGGAGAGGTTCAAGTCCAGTAGTGGAGTTTCACAGGTTGATCAAGAAGGAAGAACAATAAGGAATAATATTTTAGTTTGGGCAATAGTCTGGGTGTCCATAAATGTACATAATCCAAGATCTACAAAGCTATAACAAGTCATTAATATAATAACTGTTTTATATTAAAATAATAATTAATTATAGACTGAATAAGTCTCAGTAATGTTCACTCAGGGAATTGCAATTCCAAGCACCTTAGATATTTAAGGTCTAACAAGTTTTAAGATCTTATCTTTCGACAACCGATACCAGAGTTGAGCTTATCAAACATATTTTTGTGCATGGGAGAATTCAGAGAATGCTTTGGGTATATTTTGCAACCTTTCCAAGGCCTTCGACTGTGTTCACCATGAGACATTAATCAGGAAGCTACAGTATTATGGTGTCAAGAACACAGCGCTTAAACTAGTTATTTCATATTTAAGTAATAGAGTGTATAAAGTTATTATCATTGGTAAAAGTTCTTCCGGATGGCCCCTACAGATGGGTGTCCCTCAGGGCTCAATTCTTGGCCTATTCCTATTTTTAGTGTATATTAATGACCTACCTTCCCTTGTAGGGGATAATCATGATATAGTATTATTTGCTGATGATACTTCCTTGATTTTTAAACTTAAACGTCAATCATTTAAATGTGACTAAGTGAATAATGCTATATCAAAATTAGTGCATTAAAACTAAATGTATTAAAATTACCACAACAAATGTTAATAATCCGAGTACCAATGTGTTTTTAAATGGGGAAGAACTGAGTCCTGTCGAATGCGTTGTTCTTTCTTGGCATCACTCTCTACGCTAAGCTTCAATGGGGCCCCCATATATCTAAACTAGCAAGCAGACTAAGGTCTGCAGCTTATTCTGTAAAAGGGATTAGAGATCTCACTAGTGTGTGACAGCTAGATTAGTTTATTTCTGTTATTTCCATAGCATAATGTCATATGGGATTTTGCTATGGGGGAATGCGGCTGATTTAGAATTTATTTTTGTTTTGTAGAAGAGGGCTATAACAGCTATTTACAACCTTAAACCGAGAGTGTCTTAGAATTTTTTTTTTAAGAAATAAATATATTAACTTTGGCCACTCAGTATATCTATGAAAATTTAATGTATGTTCACAAAAACAAAGGTAGTTTCAGTAAAAAAAAGTGATATACACTCTGTAAACAATAAGTTCAAACACAAGCTAGTAATGCCAGTTTCTCAACTCCACAGAGTCAGTAATTCATTCTTGGGGCAATCCCAGTCCCAGAAAATATACAAGGTCTCTTTATTACCAAATTTAAATATTTAATTAAACAAAAACTGTATAAAAAGGGTTATTATGATATAAATGAATCCGTGGTTGATAATAACCCCTGGGAATGAGGTAGTCGCTTCCAAGGTGCTAAAATAAATATTGTAAATATTTTGTGACCATTGACATTGTAAATTTTTTTTAAAAGACTCACTGCTGGACCCACAGCATGAAGCTGGTTCTTCCCAGGACAGAGGTTTTTTTTCTCGAACCAGTGGTAAAGTAAAAATTGACTTTCAATAAGAATTACTTGTAATCTATATTGAATAAAAAATTATTCTATTCTATTCTTTTAGTTGTGCAGTTCAAAATTCTTTTAAAGTTTTCGTAACTATATAACTTTCTGTGTTTATGTTATTTAATAATGGTATTCAAAATGAAAAATAAAATAGGACAAGAAATTAAATATCTAACACTATTAACAATGCCATGAGTATGTTCCAAATAACAAAATTGTGTATTTTTTGGAAAAATTACAAATGACGTCTTTAACCTACTTGTTTTTACATGATAAAAGATAATGACGGGCTGTTTTTCGCAACTCCAGTTCGAAGCGCGTATTTTGCAGGTGGGAATAATGTAATTATTCAAGCCATAAAATCATATCGAAGAAGTACAACAGTTCTTTGATTGAAGAAAACTTGTTTTAAATTGCACAGTGGTGGACCGCCAGTCCAGCAAGCGAGTTTTGTCGCGATGTGCGATGATGAAATTGTGCGGCTGGAATTAGTTCAAAGAATTCCTCAGAGCACTCCCCGTGGTAAATGCGGTAAAATACGCGCAAAGATATGCAACTTCTCTTCGCAGTGCCAAAGAGTCAAGCCGATCGGAAAGAGCTTGGTTGCCGACGATTCGACTTGCTCTGCGCTGGATTTCGATCAAATAGAAGGAGCTGGCACTGGGGAGCCCCAGCCGAGAGATGGGAAGAGTATTCAATGGGCGGCCTAACCTGTAAAAGTTGTAAGTTGCAGGCAGTGTGCTGCATGAAATACTGTCCTGCTTTGCTGAGCACGCCAAGCTTTTTAGAGCTCAATACTGGCCTTCTCTTCCAAGTGACCACGAAACTGCACATCACTCGATATGTCAACGCCGAAGATTCTGATATTGGCTGAGGCAACAAGGGGAGTGCCTTGAAACGGAGGAGATATGACGAAGGGGTTCTTTTTAGGGGTAAACGAGCAAACTTGTGTCTTCTGGAGGTTGAACTCGACTAGATTTAGTTGCTTAAATAAGTTCAAATTATTAAACTAGAAGATTATCAGCCAGGCCATGTGAAGTGAATCTAGGACTCATTTCTATGAGCCTTTTTAATTCTTTCACATTTATTGTATGAAGTCATCTTAGATGAGTTTCATCAGATAGATCATAATTCTTTAATCTTCTGAACCAATGTTTGTAATAAAGAGAGCATGCCTTCACTCGTAGTTGCACATATGTATACTGCTTCAGACTTGGTAAAATTTGTGAGATGTTCTCTAACTTTCTATTCATTTACTATAGCCATTCAAGGTCTAACTGTTAAATGATCTGACCACATATTATTGCTCCAAGAAATTTTAGAAACTACTATAATATTCTGGACACTGATAGCATAATGATTCTTTTTTATGTTACTTTTCAATGTTATATTTACTGGAGAACATGAACAGGGTATGTTTCAACCCAAATTTTAAAAATAAATATTTATTACATATACCAGCATGTAATAAATAAAATTTAAGAATTTTTTAGTAACCTCCTGTGCACAGGCGAATATAAGTAGTGGTAGGCCATAAAGGGAAAATCTTTCATAAAGTCTATCTATACAGAATGAGCTTACAATATCTTGAACTGATAGTATTGTAGTGTTTGCTTAAATATAAGGGGTATGTTCCGAAATAGAACCCAGTACACTGGCAAATGCAAATGACGTCATCAATTAACACTTTATTATACTGGCGTGCCGCCGCCATATTGTGTCGGATATCCGGCCACAATAAAACAATTTTTAATTGTGTGTGCTCTGAATGAATGCCAGAATTTGTTTTTATTTATTCAAATACAAAAAATTATAGAATAATTGCTGGTATCTCCATTAGGAAGATATAATGATTTTTGGAGCACAAAATGACAAAATAATCGCCAACACTTTTCCAATATGGCGTAAACGTATGACGTCATATACTGTCCTATGTTTTGGAACGAATCACCAGTATAGTGTCGATTCATGACATCATTCACATTCGACAGTGTACCAAGTTGTATTTCGGAACATACCCAAGAAGTCATAATGTCTGTATGTCTGTGTTTTTTACAGAATAATGGGGACAAACAAGCACACAGTCCACCTGATGGTAAGTGGATGCTGTGACCCATAGACATCTACATTTATCTTCAATTAAGAATCAAAATGCAGATGCGTTGTTACCCCTGACGACTAAGATGGAATGCCTTGTTACCAGTAAACAAGGGTCTCTGGATCTCTACTCACCATAAGAAACCCAGCAGTATTAAGCTGCTATTTTAAGCTGGTATTTTGTGAGAGTGTGGTTCTTCTCCGGTCGAGCCCACCTATTCGTGCTACAACCATAATATAGCTGCAGCATGGCTTTACCACATATAATTATATTCTGGCTAATCTCCAAAATGGCTCGGCCAATTTTAACAGGACTTTTACTGAAGATATATGATGTTATAAGAAGTATATTAGACTACTTTTACTTTACAAAAATTATTAAGGTTCCATGCAAAAAACATGAAATCCAATAATTGTAAAAGTTCCATATAGATAAAGTCACAGGGAATAGCTAGTATATTGTACATTACATAAAACACTTATTGATCTGATGATATTGGGGTGTGGGCCCAGATGTTTCATGTCGACCTCTATTTAAGACACTGGGAATCTTACCCGTGCCTTGTTTATATATATTAGAAGTTGCTAAATTTGTAAAACAACACGGGAAAAGTTTTTATAAACTTAACAAAGAAGTGGTATCCATGAACACGAGATACCCAGATCGGATAGTAATTAGCGAAATACCGAAAAGTAAACGCTTTAGTAAAAATTGTTACTGGATGGGTAAAACAATATATAATAAAATACCAAACATAATAAAAGATCTTCCTATAAAAACATTTCAAAAAAATTATACCAGTGGCTTCTTCAAAAAACATTTTACTCCGTAAACGAGCTTTTAAATTACTGATGAAAACTTTTATAGGACTATAGCTCAAAATTGACATTTTTTTTTTGTTATTAACTGACATGGTATATAATATTGTTTAATTTAATTTACTTTATTTGTTAATTATAATTTTTTTTTTGTACTTTTGATATCTTTAGAATATAATTGGATGGATTGTTTGTTGTTGCTAATTTAATGATTTAATAATGATTGATTTTGATGTGTTAATTTTGTATAAATATAATTTCTAAGAATAAATAAATTTGCATGTCTCCATTAGAGACTTAGTGTGTATGCATAGTATTTAACAGTATATCATGTAACATACATACTAAGAAGCAAATAAATAAAGAAATAAAGATCTTTTGTAGATTGTAAAAGTTCCCAGTAAAAGGCTAAGCTTTCCATTGACGTCCGTCGAGTTGGGGGTTGATATTTTTTTTACAGAAGGACGACATTAATATAAGCACACACGCAAAGTTTTAACATGCGGAAACGCGTAGTTTTTGAGAAAAAAATTATCGAAAATCAATAATTTTTGCAATATTTATGTCAAATCCTACCATAGATTATATCGTATTACAGATATATCACGACATTGAATGTTCCGTTTTAAGTACGGTTAACTTGTCATATGTTGGGTAACATTTCATTTTATATAAATTTACGTAAATAATTATATTTTGTATCCATTTTAATAGTTTTCATGCGTGCATATATATTTAACAGTTTATATTTAACTAAATAACAATTATTTTCATTACGAGCTATTAAAATTAAAATGTGCAGTGTTTACGGTCTTTTCCCGGCTTGTGGAACGAAACGTAAAACTGACGCTATTTTGTGTTGTCAGTGTCATCCTCAGTCACTGTCATTGTTTGTGTTCCTAGCAGTTGAGATCGTTTACGTACTCCTGTCGTGAAAACAACGTTTGACTACCATCATGGCGTCTCCGAAGCCCCAAGTTTCGTGTTCTGCTGTGCCGTCTGAAGAATTCAGTGTAGTGCAAGTGTTAGACTCTAATGAGCCACTTGTTGCGAGCTCCTCTTCAGGCCCCCCGTGTGGTGAAGTGCCGTCTGTAGAATTGAGTGTAGTGAAAGTGTTGGACTCTGATGAGCCACTTGTCACGAGCTCTTCTGCAGGCGCCCCCTGTGTGCAAGTGTTGGACTCTAGTGAGCCACTTGTGCCCATGACTGTGCTATCGAAATAAATAGCTGGTAGTTCCCGCGCCACTGTTTCCAGTACCGTGTCGGTACTGCCGCCTGCGTCTCCAACGTCGTCTGAGAGCAGCGTGGCTGATGCGGTTGATTCACTGCTAAATATCGCAAAGATCCTTTCTTACAAATAGTGGCAGCCATAAATTATGTTTATAAATTAAAGTAGTTATAAAAGTTAATATTTTGGTGTTATATTGGGTGCAATAGCGAGCGAAGCGAGCCTAGGACGTGGGGCACCCCGACTCGGACAGGTTAGGTTAAAATCATCTCCTTCGTGGTAATTTTTTTGTAAACCACTCAGAAGCAGGAGTCCGTCGACTGGGCTTCCCTCTACTGCACCTCGTTAAGTGGCGTGGGGCTTCCGTCCCCCAACTCTCTCTCCCCATAAATCAGGTTAAATTGTCATAAAAATTACGAAACATAACCTCAAAATGAGATTTTTAAAAATTTATAAAAAAAAAACGAAAGGGATATAAGGGATGTAGGGGGTGACTCTACAACTCTTCTCCCTCGCCCCACACCACCCCCTAATTCAGGCGACCGAATTGTAAACCTTACCCGTGGTTTCTTATATAGCACATATGTAAACTTCACAGAAAAAGCTGACGAGTAAAGCAGTAATTAGATTTCTAATAGGAATATTTTTGTTTGTTTTAGGTGCCACTGGAACATGTATAAAATCATAACCCGGCTCAACACCCCAGCTCAGTGCATTGCATTTGCTGAAGAGCATAGGCTCCTTCCTACAGAAAAAATGTGCTCATATCATAGGAGACCTATGGCGTTAAGCTCCAGCAGTAAGACTGGTCAGCTTGGCATATTTCGATGCAGGAAGAGTAACTGTCGCTCTAAGGCAGTGAGTCGGGCAGCGGGAACATGGTTCGAGAATGCGCGGCTGTCCATCGAGTTACAATTTTTACTGATGTATATGTTCAGCCAAAAATATAGTTATCATCAAGTTAAATTAGAGACAGCCCGTGAAGATAAAGAAACAATTTTACCAACAAGGACAATAACTGACTGGTTTTCTTACTGACGAGAGACAGTAGTAGTTTATGAATTGGAGCACCAAGAAGTTAATGGCAAGATTGGTGGTCCAGGCAAAATCGTGCAAATAGACGAATCAAAATTTGGAAAACGCAAGTACAACAGAGGGAGACACATTGAAGGCCATTGGGTGCTGGGCATGATAGAAAATGGGAAAGATGATTTGAGATTAGAAGTGTGTCCCGACAATGATAGATCTGCGGAAATGTTGGTGCCAATAATACAAAAGCATGTGGAGGTAGGCACTGAAATCCATACCGATTTTTGGAGAGCCTACGATTGCCTACCTCAATATGGATATATACATAAAAAAGTTAATCACAGACCCTATAAATAAATTTGTGGCACCAGATGGGACAGACACACAACGAATAGAAAGCCACTGGCGAAATTTAAAAGTGATGTTCGGTAGAGAAAGTTATAAAACAAACTTTACAGACTGGCTAATTGAATATTCTTGGCGAAGAAAAATAAAAATAGCACATAAAGATGTTTTCATAGAATTAATTAAAGCAATACAATATGTATATAAAATTGATTAATAAATTATGAATTTTGTTGCATTTATTTTAAAAGTAAGTAAATAAAATAGGTTAGGTTTAACTTATGTCGAAGAACCGAATTGGTTGACCCCGACTCCACTTGGTACAAGTCTGTCCTACCCCTAGAGTGTTATTATAGAGCCGGAGGCGCGTAGGGAGAGCAGCCTCCACCTGCTGTAACAAGCGGCGAGGATGGATGCCTGCGATTTGTTACGCAAAGGTGAAGAGGCTGCTCTTCCCGCAGCGCCGTAGACATTGCAGTCTCAAAATAGACACAGAAATCCCTCTCAATCAGTCCCCCTATTTTTTTTCTGATGAAAGGGGTTCCCTTCCGTAGGGGGGAACCCCCCTCCCCCAAGGTGTCCTCCTGGTTTTTTACACTTAATATTAATCCATAAAATGAGGAAAATTTTCTCAGAATTAAAAATGAAAAAACTCGAAAAGGGGGGGGCTCCGCAACTTTTCCTTTTAAGGGGGGGGTATTAAACCTCCCCCCCTTCAATTCGATGGACGTCAATGGAAAGTCGTACCACAATAATTCAGGACTAAACTAATGAAAATAAGAACTACCCCATAAAAAGTTGAAACCTTCAACTAAAATGTTGATTTTGTGCAGTTGCACTTTTTCTCAATAACTACATTGTCACAACTTTCCTTAACAGTGGTCTCTCCTCACCTTTAGTATAAGCTTGTTACTGTATATTATTCCTAATTATGAATTAACAAAACTCATACCTGCATCCAAAAGAAATACTTCTTTGAGAAGGACTTAAACTTGAGAACATACACACGACCTGTTGTACATTCATTAACACGGACAAATTCACAGTCATCGGGAAAAATCAACAGATCATCTTCCACCTCTCCTGTAGTGCGATCTTTCCAACAAAAGTGCATTAGAGAATCTTCTCCTTGGTAAACATACAAAAGGCCCTTCCTTTTATCCGGGTGAACCATGCGTCCTTTTAAAGTCATCCTTCCAGCTCTGAATTCCACTAAATGCTTGTTACCTCCAGAGCTACCTCCCAATGAAGATGTATTACCAAATAAAGCAGTAGCAGACATTTTGAAAAGTGGATTTTAAAAACTGCAACAATAAATCAATAATTACATACAATATCAGCATATAATTTACGTGCCAACATAAAGCCACTTTCCAACTACATATGAATGAAATTGATTACATGCGAGATCTGTCCTCTGTTTGATATACATAATGCATAATTTACTTTTATGACCCCCACCCAAACGAAAGGTACCATAACGCTGAGTACAGTATTCTATTGATTTGATAAGAGTTATTACAGAATAAGAACAGAACGATAACCAAAGTCAAAAATGAATTAGACTCAAAGAGAAATAGAACGTAATCAATAAAGAAATTGATAAACCTTGGTTGCTTGGTTCCTTGCTAACTTGCTCTTGCTAGTCTCAGATTCAAAAAGTATTAAAGTTAAACAAAAACTCAGATCTCAGATTACAAAATTGCAAATCAGCACTCAGCTAGACATTCAGCACATCAAAGACCAAAAGAGACAAAGCCAAGCCAAGCATAGATAAATAGATGCAGGTTTTTAATTTTATTAACTGGCCTTACTGCTCTGGGTTCTAGCCCTTCTGAGCTTATCATTTCTTTCGGAATCTTCATTTTATATTCTTTTTCTTCACAATATGCTTATGCGTCACATTGCTTCCTTAGAAGATTTTGACGATAGCTCAACCTAACGGACAGTTGACGACAGCCACTCAAGTTCACAAGGCGCCCAAGTGATCAAAATAACTTGAGGTTTATATCGACATCAAAGCACTTGTTTCGTTGCTTTCTCTAATAGTTAACACGCTCGGACACTTAATTCACAAATTCGCATCACTTTTACGAATCAAAATCCACTTAAAACCATTATTCAAGTGACGAAACAGGAGCGACAATCCATCTACGGCCAAGTTCCCGCCAAAACTCAATAGATGCAGGCATTAGGCAAAGACAAAGAGTATAGCTACCACAAACTAATAAGAGTACTAACGTACTGATAGCTACTGCTATAGTAAGTTTATTTATCGATATATCGAAAATCCGATATCTTAAAAAATATCAACAGTTTTAATTTAAACTGATCAGTTGGAATTTATACATTGACATATACTACATCTTTTCCTTTAAATTTAAATCATAATCTTCAAAACGCTTGGGGTATCTTACATTCCTTTTAGGTCTAGTACATCCTAATTTAACACCAGTGTCACCTTCAGGAATCTCACTGACGTCATTCTCCTCTGGCACTGTTATAATTCTAGGTTTCACATGAGCTGTATTTCTTCTAAATTGTACACCTTCATTCCTATCTATAATCATTGATCTTGGATTCGCACAAATATCAACCAACATCCCAGGGTTCCAAACCTTATCTTTTCTATACCAAATATTTTGACCTTTATAAAATTTATGATTAGATTGAGTAGCAGTTTTCGTTATCATAGGTACTTTTATTACTTTCATTTTCTTTTTTTGATGAAATGCAAAATTATTAATAACCTTTGGATATAACAGTTTGTCATGAATTGGAAGTTCACTCCCAGTTTCTCTACTAAATATTAATTGTGTTGGTGTATATGGTGAACCTATATTTCTATAATCCAACAACATGTACTCTTTTTCAATTCCCTGCTCTTTACACTTTCTTAATACATCTTTTGCAATCCCCATCATTATTTCAATAAATTCATTAGATCTTGGATAGTTAAGACTAGATGTGATAATAGAAAAACCCCAATCCTTTGCAAAAGAATGAAACTCTAGTGAATTGAACGGCATATTTTCTGCTCTCACAATTTGTGGTATACCATGTATAGCAAAAACATTTTTACAAATCTTAGTAACTGTTGATGTAGACATTGATTTGGCTTTTACTAGCTCATACTATCTTGAATAATAATCAGCTATAATCAAATAACTGTTGTTTGCGTAGTTTAAAAAATCACAACCTATTTTTTTAATGGTCAATCTATAATTTCATCAACAATCATCGGCTCTTTCTTTTTACTAGCATTGTATTTTGCACACAATTCACATTTAGCTACTATCTTATTTATATCATTTTTCATATTAGGCCGAAAAATAAAGATTTTGCCCTAGAAATATTGTTTATTCCGAAATGTGCCTGATGTATTTTCATTAGAACTTTTGTTTTAATGACATTGGTACAATAATTCTGTGTTCACAATATACAATGCCATTTTTTTATATTTCATACCTTAACTTAAAATAAAACTTAACTAAATCTGACACTTTTCATTTATCATTTGGCCAATCACTTTTGTATAATCTAAATTAACTCTTAAACATTCATCATTTTTAGACTCAACTTTTATCTGATTTAATAAATCATCACTATCATTTACTGAGTGCATCACCTTTTCTAAACACGCCTCTACTAGCTAACATTTTGTTTTTGATGGTGCCTTACTTATTGCATCAGCAACAAATAGTTTTCTCCCTTGCACATATTATACATCAATATCATATATATTTAGTTTAATTCTAATTTTCTTTAACCTCTGTGAGTTAATTGCACATATATCTTTTCTCATGAGAGATACCAAAGGTTGGTGGTCAGATTGAACTAAAACCATTCTACCATCTAAATGATAATGAAATTTTTTGCATGCAAATAATATAGCTAAAAACCTTTCATCAATCTGGCCCCACTCACACTCTTCGGCAGACAAAGATTTTGATACAAAACCAATAGGATGTCCATTTTGTAATAATACACTGCCTATTGCACTTTTTGAACCATCAGTTTGAATTATAATATTTGCATTTGTGTCGAGATTCCGTAATACCGGTGGATTTATTAATAATTATTTAATTTTTCTTATAACTTCATCATGATTCTTATCCCACACAAATTGGATATTATTTTTGTTTAACAAGTCTCTCAAGGGACTATTAATTTCTCTCAAATTTGGAATAAATTCTCTTAAATAATTGACAAAACCTAAAAATCGCTTTAAACTTTCTCTATCATTTGGTACATCATAATTAATAATTGTTTGTATCTTTTCTTTGTCAGGTAATATAAACCCATTTACTATCTCATGCCCGAATTATTTAGTATTGTCTTGTAAGTAATTAAACTTTCTCAAATTAAATTTAATATTTAAATGTAATGCCTTTCTTAACTTGTTGCTCTTTAGTTTTACCAAAAATCAAAAAATCATCTATACAATATGTAATAAAAACCCTGTGGTTCCCGTTAAGTGTGTTATCAGAATCAGTATCCAAGCGTATAGAAACAATTTAAAAAAAAAACACATTTAAAGAAATAATTTTAATGAAAAAAATATTAGTTTGCTTTATGTTGTTTTATTTCATCTAACTTACACGAATTAGCCTAAAGGTCTAGATACCAGGCCATAAACTCCAAAAAAAAAATAACTTACACGAGTATCGGTGTAATGCGGGGTCTTTGACAATCCTCTTGCAGCAATCTCGGGCAATGCAGAGGTAATAAAACCACATACCATTTGCAAATTAATTTTTTTTTCATTTAAATTTTTTAAATGTGTTTTATTTTATGAAAAAAAATTATTTCTTTATGCTTGGATACTGATTCTGATAACGCAGTTAACGGGAATCACAGAGTTTTTGTTACATGTTGTATATATAAAAACATTGTTAATGCCACCAAACAACGAAACACAATTTTTTTGAAAAAATTCCGCTGACACCTCTAAGCAAAATGGTTAAACATTGAAGCAATAATGTCCATAAATAGTTGAAAAAGTGCAATATTTTTTACTATGGTCAGTTAATTTAATTTGCCAAAACGATTCCTTTAAATCAAATACTGAAAAATATTTATCTTTGTTTATTTTTGCTTTTCAAATCTAATTTTAAAACAAAAAAAAAATCATTCATTGTTGGTATCTCATAGTACTTTTTTAAGATGCATTTATTTAATTCTTTAGGATCCAAGCACACTCTAATCTACCTCTCATTTTTCTTTACAATTACAATTCTATGGACCCATTCAGTGGGCTCATCCACTTTAGAAATGACTCCTAATTCACATAAGTGATCTAACTCATTTTTCAAAGGATATTTTAATTTTAATGGGACTCGATGAGGTTTGGAAACTGGTTCAGAATTTTCTTTCAATTTTATTTGGTATTTCTTCAAAAAATACCAAAGATTTAAATTCTTCAATAGTTCTATCTTTTTCGGATTTATTCCGAACAGTATTGACAACTTTCCGTTCAATGAGACATAAAATTAAACATGATTCTTTACCTAATGTTGGCTCATAGCCTTTTTCAGTAACAATAAAATCTATGTAACACAATTTAGATTTAATTTTTACTTCTACAATGATAGAGCCAAAAACTTTTTTTCGCTATTAATTTAATTTTTGAATTAGACAATTTGACTTTTTTATTTCTCTCCAATAATTAGTATATGTTATCAGGTAACAAATTCACATCACTACCAGTATCCAATTTAAACCTACAATTAACACTTCTTTCTATTAATAACTCTTGAAACCAATTAATAGAATAAAAGTTCTATTGTAATTCAGTAACAACAAACCTTTGTAGTTACTGAATTACAATAGAACGCCCCATCTTCATTATCGTGTTCTGATGTTACAGCTTTTACAGTTTTCGATTTATACACAGAAGCAATGTGTCATTGCACTTAGAACATTCCTTATTTCGTGCTGGACAAATTTCTCTATCGAGAACATGACGACGTCTACACCATTTACAGTTGATAATGTCAGATTTTGAAGTTGTTAACGACATGGATGATTTACTTTTGTTGAGCCCTTTTTAATTGCCGTAGGAAATCTTACTGTGTTAGTAAGATTTCCTAACTTCTAACTTCTTTCAGCTAATCAGAACCGTCTAACTACCTCCTCTAGTGACATGACTCCTTCCACAATTATCTTCTTTTGAGTTTCTAAGTCATTGCATCCTAATACGAGTCTATCCCTTATCACCTCATCTTCAGCTGAAAATGCACAATTTTCACAAAACTTTTCACTTCTGTCAAAAAGGAGTCGAATCTGTCGCCTTCTTCTTGTTTACGTTTATAAAATATTTATATCTTGCATGCAAAATATTCTTTTTGGCTCACAATAATCTTCATTTTAATTTTTCAAATGTCTTCTCACCCGTATTAAATACAAAAGTGTTGTATATTTTTATACAATCTTCATCAATAAGGTTCAATATAATCGCTTTTTTTTTCATAATTCTTTTCACACATGCCCGATGCCATTAAATAAATTTCTTATGACTATTTGAACCTTCTCCACTCATCTCCTACAGTACAGTACTTGCTTGCAGTTAAATCCAACTTTTCAGTAGAGATGGGCCGAATATTTGTTTTATATTCGGTATTCGGCAGAATATTCGGCTAAATCACCGAATATTCGTTTTCATAGTGTCCAATGTATTGAAATGTACGAATTGAGTAATGCGATGTCTTTTACTGTTGAAATTATATTTTATTTATGGGTTAAATCTACTTACTCTAGAGTGCCTCAAACGCGCAAATCTACACATTTATGTTTTTGAGGCACTATAGATTTATTTCCGATTATAGCAAATAGAAACTTGATAAAATGTTTTTGGAATGAAACAAAGAAACATTACATTACTTTAGTACATTTCACTTTACTTTGGCCGTCAGTTTCTCTAAAATATGTCCAAATAGTAAATCTCCTACCACTCATTCTTATCATATAATTATCAATTTTCACTAAGAATAAAACAACGAAATACTTTTTTTAAGTAAATAAGTATGACATGATTGCCACATTTAAAAACACATGTTTACATATGTAAAATTTAATTACATTTAGACAAACGGAGGTGACTCAGCTTTTGATTACATGGAATTAAGATCTCATGAAGCGCTGGTTTTCAGGCTGAGGCAGAGTTATTACACGACGGGTCGTTAGAACTTCGAGTTCCCCAATCACCTTTATAGGTTGTGAAGTTTCATAACTATTTAATCATAATTCTTGCATTGTGTGTGTGTGTGTGTGTGTGTGTGTGTGTGTGTGTGTGTGTGTGTGTGTGTGTGTGTGTGTGTGTGTGTGCGTGCATGCAGTTTAAACATGGGATGTTTTTTTAGGGTTATGACTAAAATGTTAAAAAAGTCTCTAAAGTTTATGTATTTCCAGGAGGCATGTTTCAAATTTTCTGCAGCATTTTTATCACAAGAATCCGGTCCGGCGCTAATCCCGCGCGCTTTACGATAACAAGTTTCGACATAAATTGGTTGGATCCCGAGATTATCCTGCCGAATAATGTTCGGCCGAATATTCGGTTCGGTAAAAGTTTTACCGAACATTCAGCCAAATATTCGTATTCGGTGAAATCCCATCCCTACTTTTCAGGCATATTCGCCACGAACGAGAACGCCATTATTATTAAATTGCCACACAACTTTAGGAATGGCAAAAAAATTATAAAATCAGTATCCTTGTGACTGCGCCATGTATTGTTCTTGATATTTAAATATCTTTATGTAGACAATTAATAAAGATTATTATTTTATAAATCAATTATATATCAATTATATAATAAAACCACATACAATTTGCAAATAATTTTTTTAATTAATTTGAAGAAATTATGGTAGAGTCTTTCTGAAAAGAAATATTTCTATTTTTTTATATAGTTTTTGTTAAAATTTTTATTTTTGTTAAATATTTCTATTTTTGTTGTCATATTTATATTTTTATTAAAACACACCAACATCGTATACATACACACGTAATCTTAGGATTAAATTAATTA